CTACCTCAACCTAAGGCATTAAACCCGCTGACATGTTTTTCGAGGGTTTCACTTATTTTTCTTTTAATTGTTATTTTAAAAGATTGATTATATTTTTATGGAAATATGAATAACGTTTTGGGCTTGTGTATGCAAGGCGGGGTGTGAGTTGTAGGAAACGATAAATTTCACGACATTAGTACGTGGCATATGATTGTCGAACTTGCATGGATGCATGTATGTGTGAAGGTTTGCATTTTTTTGTCCGGATGTTGTTCTATTTATTGAAATACTGATTGATAAGTCAGATCAGTGGTTTTGATAATGATCGCTCGATGCCAGACAACCTTTGTTACGTCCCATTAATTTACCCACTTTGTTTATGTGGTTATGATAGTCACAAACATTACCTAAGGTTACCTTAGGACTGGATCGATATTGACATAAACCTACGATAAAAGCTTTACATTGCCAGACCCTAGAGAGGTAGTACGGAAAAGGAAGATAAACATTTGTAAGACCTGCTTGTTTATTTTAAAAATTTGATAAACTTGTTCACAATAGGAAGCTAAGACTCTTGTCCGCTAACCATCGAAAGTTTTCTACCGCGTTGCAACTTTCACAAATATTTCACGCTAGACTCGAGAGATGGGAGAGTTCGCGACCACGTGTGTGGTCGGTCAACGTCAATGAATTGAACCCTTATAATGCTTATTTATTGACACTTGAGTGTCGTGTGTCTTCCCGATATCCGTAAGGGATTGCATTATTATGGATAATGCACGAGGCACCTCCATGATCATTGATCACACAAATATGTATCATTAAGTATTATGGTTTCATTCACTCGTACATCGCTTTTATACATTGTGTAAAGAGTCTCACTCTACCTCTTGCGCGCAATGTAAGTTATGACTGTAGATATCCGGTAAAGGACCAGACGCATGTGTGAAACCAGATGTCATAGTACCTCGTGTTGTGCACCATGATGTTAAACTCGACGTCATAATCAACCGACGTAAGACCTCATATGAGAGGTCAACTCACGTAATGGCTCGTGCACGTGCTCGAGACGAACATATATGTGCTCATTTATTTTCATGATTGGACAGTTAAGTCCGCAATTGCTAAAGGTAAACCCCTTGACTACTCCATATGAGAAATTCCCGAAATACGAGTTTACTCTCAGGGTGAGGACAGTTCAATCATTGTCATTGTCGCGACGAATAAACAACTTGCTTTTCAGTAGTTCGGTGTCGCAACGGAAGCTTCCTTTGTGACATCTCATATCTGACACTCATGTGTCGTGCACAACCCCTCAACCCACAATAGGCCACACAGTTATGGGCTTCGTGTAAAGTGTGGCCATGGTGATGAATCACGTATCCATTCATGGTTAATTTTGATGACCTCGCTTGCAGAAATGCTTCGTTTATACGACTTCGCGCAAACTGTAGTTTATCGTTCGCGTGCTTTATAAATTATGAGGGTTGGGAAGTTGAAGAAAGATTAGGGAAAACGATTTTATTTCATTTTATCCCGGAAGTGAGTCACATGGTAAACTGAATGTTATAGTTGACGGACGCAGAGTCGTGCTGAGGAGATCCATGTCCCTAGTATCGGTACGCGTGCTGGTTCGATTTAGGTGTGACCGTGCATATCCCCAATGCTGCCACGAACGAGAAACACCCTCGGTTGATCCACCTCCGCGACCGCATGTAAAAATTCTCGTACGTTGACCAATAGCTCGAGGGGGATACAACTACCCAAAAATGGTGACAACTCCCTCGGGTGTAGGTAAGTTGTACCTCGTAGGGTCCTTTATCTTATTATAGGAACTCGTGAGATGTATGCCTGATACACTCGGCCGGAGCGACATTGTTCATGAATGCTTTGCATCCTGAATGCCAAAATCATGCATGACATGGCTGGGAGGGTCCCTGTGCGGGACCGATGTGCTTGAACGCGATGAACGCTGTCCTCTTCGGACACTGACTAACGGAAACACAAAAGGGTCCCTGTGCGGGACTGATGCGCTTGAACTCGACGAACCCTGTCCTCTTCGGACACTGACTAACGGAATCACAAAGTTTTTTGTTAGTAGTTGCACCTCCTATTTAAGCCCTCTACCCCTTTGATTAACATCAGTGGATATGACGAACACTCTCCCACATATTTACACGATCTATACACACATACACACCCGTGATAGCCAAAGACCCTCCCAATACAAATCGGGAAGAGCAAGCCGACTATCTCAATTGGTTGGCACTAGTAGTGATTGAACCCATGACCTCCTAAATGTCACTTGGGTGCCTAACCAACTGGGGTAGGTGGCTTGCTCTGTAGGTTGTTTAGCAGTCGCAGTGCTATTTCTTCTTAGAGGATGTTCGCAATAGAGCTTTCCCAATCCCAAATGGATCTGGAGGGAAGAATGGGCGGCAACATCCATAAAAGACCTGATGTAAAGGGGGAGGAAACTCACCCGCGGCCTCGACCCACATGCCATCGAATAGTATAGTTTACTAGTCTGTGTGACAGTAGAAGGCGGGAAACCACAATAGTGAGGTGAGGCCATTTGTGTGTTTCCTCAGAGGATCGTAAGCCTCATGTCACTGACACTTACATAAATGTATCCAACCATTTTCAGGGACGAAATCGATATTCCCTTTTTGTTTTTTCCTCTTTCTTTCTGGAATCTGACAGCGGAATCCGTGATCAGAGGATTGTAACCGTGATGAATGTATCCAGCCATTTTCATGGTCCGATCCGTGTTTCTATTTTTTTTTTTTTTTCATTTATAAAATCCGACAATCTGGTCAGGAGGCTGAGATGCCCTCACTGAGGGCACACTCACACTACCACTTCCAAGAATGTACACAACTACAATCACGACGTGAGTCTCACCTTTGTTTTTATCCCCTTGTTTTGTGAGTTTCACCGCCGCAACTTTTCTTGTGCCTTTTTTTTTTTTCCCTCTGTGAGAGTACCATAAAAAAATGGAGTGGGGCCCAGGTTTGGCGCAGTGAAATTCAACGTAGGAAAAAACAAGCTCGGAGGTACTAGTGGAAAAAAAAAAAAAAAAAAAAAAAAAAAAAAAAAAAAAAAAAAAAGATAAAAAAAAAAAAAAAAAAAAAAAAAAAAAAAAAAAAAAAAAAAAAAAAAAAAAAAAACACCCTTGGGGCCTGACTGCAGTGCTCTCCACATGTGCAAAAGTACCAATAGTTAGAGGATGAGATAGATGCTTACTACCAAGAAAATTGAGATATCAAAAAAAAAAAGAAAAACTGAGATAGATGAGAGATGAATATAGCTTACCTTTAAAAAAAAATAAAAAAAATGGCAATGTATTTTTCCATGTTCTGGCCATGGATTCGGTCTCATTTTGCACATTTGGAGAGTACTGCAGCTAGGCCATGAGACTTACCATGATATTTGTCCTTTGTGCATGTCCACAGAACAGTGGAGGCGACCAAAAAAGAATAGTATTCTACGCCGAAAAAAAGAGGTTAGTATACTACACCGTATTGCCTCTCCCTCCATTCCACACGGGACCCCTAAAGCAACTAAAAACCAATGACAAAACGGAGCCTTACTGCTCCCTGCCCTAAATGGCGGGATGCATAATCCCACCGTCCCAGTCCAATGATCGGGTCTGCACCAGACATACTGGCCAGTACGGGGTTTAGGTTAGGGGTCGGGTTAGATTAGGGTGTCAGTCCGCATGAGGGGTGTGAACCTCTTCAGGTTCCATGGGGGTTGTATGGGTTCCTGGGGTGTCTTCAGATGTCTTGGGTACCACTTGGTTTCCCAATCCAGAGGTTCACCGACGGTTGAACCCATACTTGTCCCGCCCTAGGTCCTGGTCTGATCCCGCCTCTCATGCACCCTATAGAGTGGTCGTAGCAGGACGGGTCCTGCGTACTTACGATGCCTGCAGGCGGGCCCCCGTTAAAATCTTACGATGCCTGCAGGCGGGCCATCGTTAAAATCTTACGATGCCTGCGGGATGGGCTTCATCCGGATAGTGCCTGGTCTGTCATACCCACTGGAGAGGTCATTTAGGAGGGGTACACATCAAGGGGATTCATCCAGGTAGTAGACTCATTTGGGAAAGGGTAGGGTGGTTGTCATACCGTTCATAGAAGTGTGGTTCGCCACCAGAGTCTGTGAGGTTGATGCAGGTTGGAAATAGCCCAATCTGCTCCGGGTCGTCCCTGAGTAATCAGGGTGTCCTCTATGGTAGCAGTCAGGGGTCTGTAGTTAGATCCTTGGCACATTGAGGGGTTGGGAGCCTTGGTCTAGTTAGGCTAGGTCTAGGTAACCAGCTATAGGGGCTCGACTTACGACAGTTAAAAGTAACACAGTTAAAGTGTAGTCTCTATGGTTAGGTGTCCCCGAAAATGTGGATCCTCTAAGTCATCCCCCCACTGGTTGCACATGCAAATCAGACACTTCCCGAGGCATAGAGCCCAGCCACTACTACCACATGGATCTTTTTGAAAAAAAAAAAAGTAAAAAAAAAAACAAAAAACAAAAAACAAAAACAAAACAAAACAAAACAATAGACAGTTCCTAACAGTCCCACACCGTCACACCACTAGTAAACTATACTATTCGCTGGCATGTGGGCCGAGGCCCCCGTTCTCTGTTCAGGGCACAAATTGGGCACTTCTGCGCGCGCCTGTAGGCTAACCCTTCGAATATGGCACGTGGAGCCTCGTACTGAGTACATATGGGCCGCACTATTGACCACCCGTCCTTCGTTCCGGGCACAAATTGGACACTTCTGCGCGCGTCTGTAGGCTCACCCTTCGAACATGGCACGTGGAGCCTCGCACTGCCGCACTATTGACCAAATGTGCAAGGGGGGAGAACGTATTTTCCGCCGTAACGACGAAAGATACACCCCAACGTAGTTTTTGTCATTTTTCGCGGCCAGGCGAGCCCAGCGCTTCAAGACCGTCGTCAAGTGAGGCTCGGTTGAACAGGCGTAGCCGTTGGTCCCGAACGAAGAGTGTGCTGCCTCTGGCCCACTTTCCGTGACACACCTCGCCGCGTCGCTTTGGCAAAAGCTTATTGCTGGGAAGGAAGACAGTGAAGCCCTCTTGGAGCGCAAGCAGGTATCGGGGAGAGGTCGCTGAGTTCTATCGGCCCGCTTCGTTTTCGTCGGTTGTGTGCGGTGTTCGTGTTTTTTCTCCTTGGTCGGTTGCGGCGTGTCCGCCATATCCTTTCTTTCTTTGTAGCCCGTCGTGCGGTAGGCAGCCATGGGAAAGGAGAAGTCCCATATTAACATTGTGGTCATCGGACATGTCGACTCCGGCAAGTCAACGACCACTGGCCATCTCATCTACAAGCTGGGAGGCATTGACAAGCGTGTGATCGAGAGGTTCGAAAAGGAGGCAGCTGAGATGAACAAGAGGTCCTTCAAGTACGCTTGGGTGTTAGACAAGCTGAAGGCGGAGCGCGAGCGTGGAATTACCATCGATATTGCGCTGTGGAAATTCGAGACCACGAAGTACTATGTGACTGTCATCGATGCGCCCGGCCATCGCGATTTCATCAAGAACATGATCACAGGTACGTCGCAGGCCGACTGCGCTGTGCTGGTCATCGATTCCACGACGGGCGGCTTCGAGGCCGGTATCTCAAAGGATGGCCAGACCCGTGAGCATGCTCTGTTGGCGTTCACGCTGGGTGTGAAGCAGATGATCTGCGCTTGCAACAAGATGGATGCCACAACACCGAAGTACTCGGAGAACAGGTACAACGAAATTAAGAAGGAGGTGTCGACCTACCTGAAGAGAGTAGGGTACAACCCTGACAAGATCCCCTTCGTGCCCATTTCTGGGTTCGAGGGCGATAATATGATCGAGAGGTCGACGAATATGGGGTGGTACAAGGGCCCCATTCTCCTGGACGCTCTCGATCTGATTTCGGAGCCGAAAAGGCCGTCTGACAAGCCTCTCCGTCTGCCTCTCCAGGACGTTTACAAGATTGGCGGTATTGGGACGGTGCCCGTGGGAAGGGTTGAGACAGGTGTAATTAAGCCTGGCATGGTGGTGACGTTCGCGCCTTCTGGTCTGACTACTGAAGTCAAGTCGGTGGAGATGCACCACGAGGCAATGACCGAGGCGCTTCCGGGTGACAACGTGGGGTTCAACGTGAAGAACGTAAGCGTTAAGGAGTTGAAGAGAGGTTTCGTGGCCTCGGACTCTAAGAACGACCCTGCGAAGGAGGCAGCGAGCTTCACGTCTCAGGTTATCATCATGAATCACCCTGGACAGATTGGTAATGGCTATGCACCGGTGCTGGATTGCCACACCTGCCATATTGCGGTGAAATTTGCTGAACTGGTGGTGAAGATAGATCGGCGAACGGGTAAGGAAATCGAGAAGGAGCCTAAATTTTTGAAGAACGGTGACGCTGGGTTCATTAAGATGATTCCAACCAAGCCGATGTGTGTTGAGACCTTCGCCGAGTATCCCCCTCTCGGTCGTTTCGCCGTGCGAGACATGAGGCAGACGGTCGCTGTCGGCGTCATCAAGGCCGTGGAGAAAAAGGAGAAGGAAGGGAAGGTGACTAAGGCCGCCATGAAGAAAGGAGGGAAGTGAATTGGTAGCGTGTCTCCTCTGGCGAATGCGGCGAAAATTGAAGAATTACAGAGTGATGTGGAGACGCTGCCACCGGAGGTGGATGGTGGTTGCTTCTCTGGTTCTGCAGCAGCCCCCGAAATGGGGGCCGCGGGGCGATTCAATATGTCGTGCTGTTGTGCTCCGGTGTTCCGTTGTGGAGTGGAATTTAGCGACGAGTTTCTTGAGTATAGAGTCTTCGCTGTGAGGAAGTGGTCGTTTCCGTCTCTCTCAGTTGACGGTGAAGAAAGGGAAAGTAGATATCGAGAGACTGTGTTTATTCAATTTCATGTCGTGAGTTCTCTGCGTTTGTTGTTTGGTCAGTTTGATGATCGAATGGTTACATCTCGCTGGCAACAGACCTGGGTGCTCGATAGGCGATGGCGTGGCTAATGGGTTCAATGGTATGTCTTCTCGGAGAGTTGTTGATTCTTTTGCGGATTGCAGAGCGGTTGATCCTATTAACGTGCACGAGTAGTGGTTACGAAAGAGTGTCTGCTTGTGATGGTGAGTCTCTATCGTGAAGCAAAACAAACACCTCGGAGAAAGAGAGTAATGGACTGTCTCTGGCCGAGGATGCACTTGTGAATGATTTTGAACGAATACGTATCTTAAAGAATTCTGCAATGCAATTATCCAACGTATGCGAGTTCGTTCTGATCTCTTAAGATGAAGGAAATGGTGCGTAATTTTTCGATGCTGTATGAGGTTAATCTGTTGCGAATGTTAATTTGAACGGTGTCGATGCATGCGTAATTGTGGTATTCCGACGTGTTTCCTCTTGGCCTTGGCGTTGTCGTGTGCTTAGTCAGTTCAGTATTGTACTTTTGTAACCGATCGAACGATTTAGTGCTTGCAGTGCGCGGAGAAAAACACTGTTTATCTGAATGTTAATGTGAGCGGCGTGTCGATGTGTAATTCTTGTATATCGACGTGGTCCCTCTGGCTCTTGGCGATATCGTGTGCTTAGTTTTAACCTTTTGTGCTTAGTACCCCATCGAATGATTCAGTGCTTCCGGCGGTCGGATGAAAGCAGTTTGAATTTTTCGAGAATATGTACTCGAATTGTATTGCTTCACGTCTTGATTAGATTTCTTGTTTGACTTATCCTGCACGTACGTGTATTACGATATGGACGGTATTCGCTGTTGATGTCGGCTTGAACTTCGGTGTTTGGCGGGAAGAAGAGGACGAGGAAAATCTTAGTGAGTTGTGTTGTTCGAAATTTTTACCTTCAGAATGACCGCCTTACGTTTGGATGTTGCCTTGCATTTATCGACAGGTCTGAACGTGTTACGTATGCAAACCGTGAGTTAAAGTTAATCGAGGTTTTTGCATAGAAGTCGATTGGAAGTATGAGTGCTATGTGTACTCCGGTGTCTGGTTTCTTGTAAGGAATTTTAGGGTTGGATTGGATGTCTTGGGCGGCGGATTGCTGAATTGACTTTTTCTCAGATCTGTGGTAGGAACTGACCTCCGGCACAGTTCAGGGCGATGGTAGAGTGGGGATGTGTGTTGTCTTCCGATAACTGTAATTGGAACTCGCTTTTGTGGAGTCTGAGGATGTCCTTGATGCCGCGTGGATTGTCGGCAAATGATATGGTCACGGGATCGTTTGGACAGGATCGTAACTGGGTTTGGGCCGTCGATAATCTCCTCCCGGTAGAAAGAACTCGGTATCGTCTCTGCAGCTGCTGGATCTATGACACCACCTCGCAAATGGACAGTCGATCCACTAGGTCGGACAGGATTATAACTGGGTTGGAGGTCTCGATGTTCTCTCAGTTGAAAGGACTCGGTATTGTCTCGGGTTTACTGATTATATCACATCACCACGTAAATGGACTATCAATCCACTTGCTTTGCCGTCTTGGTTTTCAGAATGCGAACCCTAAATCCTGTGTGCGGCGGGAATTGGTCAGTGGTCTTTGAACTCGATTCTCTTACCCGTAGTTTTCTGATCGTATGGGAACTCGGGTGTCACGGCATTTGTGACCGAAAGTGTTGTTTTCTTTCTGGAAAGCTGGTTTCGAATTTCGAGCCCATAGGGCTACAATCTCTAAGAACTCGTTGTGTCCTGTGTGGCATGCGCGACTTCGAAGTCGAGGGCGACCGTAACTTCTGAGTACTCGTTAGAGGCACGGAATTTCAATTTGGGCGAAATTGGGTGTATCGCGGCGCCGTCGTATGATGAATTCTATCGTCTGTTTTAGACCGGTGTTACGTTAACCCTAATTCGCACGTCATTCCGTGGCGTTCGGCATTGTGACTTAAGACCTTTTGAAGTCCGAGTTTGTTGTCTGATGCACACTCAGGAACTCCGTTTGGGCTCCTAGCGCGCAGTATGTGGAGGTTCCTATGCACATCTGCATCGCAGTCGTGTTTAAAGCTTTCGCCCTTTTCCCCAAGCTTGTGAAAAGTCCTGCAGGAGCTGGCTTAGGCGAGAGAGAGACTGACTGCTTCCTCTTCCGATCCAGTAGTGGTTAAATCTGGTAGTGTTGGCCTCTGCGACTCCGCATTTAGAACGCATACGGGCGATCTAATTACGCCACGGATGTACCGTGAGAGGATCCATTGCGAGTATGATTCTTGATTTGTTTTCTGATACGTCTGGGTGTTTGCTGGCTCTTTTTAAAGGCTTAGTCACACTCGGACCTTGGTGGAACTCTGCGGTGAAGTTAGCATGTGTGCTGACTCCCTCTTAAGGCTTATTCAACTTAAGACCTTGATAAATTTTGTGGTAAACGGTTGTCCGCAGGTAGTGTGCGAACAAGCAAGAAGCTAGCCTTATGTCATATGTACTCGCAACGCTAAGACTTGATTGACGAGCTTGGAGTCAGATGAGTCCAGGTCCGGCCGTAAATGAGGTAAGATACGAGTGAGTTAAAGCCAGTTGAGGAGCGGCAATTGAGTTAGTGATTAAGTTGAAAGTAGTGTTCGTTTGCGAGCTGGTCAAACTGTACGAGGATAGATGACAATTAACGTCCTCATTTGCACGAATTCCACTTTTATGGTGGGATTCCCCGTAGTTGCGTTTTGCTCGTCACTTGCGCTGTTGTCTATATCTTTGGTCGTTGTCACCGTGACGGGCAGTGGTTAAACCGCTGGTACGCGCCCCCAGCCTTGCAGGAAGTTTTTGTCGCCACACGCAAAACTCTTAGGCGCCGCACGGTCAGGCCCGCTGTTGAGGAAAAAAATTGGCGGCTCAAAAGTGGTGCGGGTTTCATGCTGACATCCGCGGGCCCATATGTGGTGTACTGGTGCTTTCAAATGGGCGGAGTATTGCCATGTTAGGTCGAGCTAGTCGTGCACACCAGAAGGTGGATGTGGAGTATTGACTTGTTTGGGAAGTCGAGCCAGTCATGCCCACCGGAATGTGGCTGTCGTCCGTTTCTTGGATTTCTGTCAGGCTTGGTTTAGTGAGTTTGAGGCGTAAGGAAAAATGCGGGAGTTACCCTAACGGAATGGTGGGTCTCGGTGAACAATCATAGGGCGGGAGGACTGGACACGGCGGTAGTTTGCTCTCTGTGGCATACGGCGGAGGACTCTGCTGCACAAGTCAATTGCTGGCGGATGTGTTGTAAGCGAGTGACAGGGAACGAGTGGCGTCCGCACAGTTATTAGAATATATGGCAGTCACTCAGAGGTTAGATTAACGATTGAAGGCATGGTGCAGTCAAGGAGTAATCGAAATGGAAGGTTGGTGAAGTGAAATGTGTGCCAGTTCCGCAGATGGTCTACGGGTAGCGGAGATGGCAAAGTTGTGTCAAGTTGCAATGCAACGAGTGGTGGATATTTCCAAGAAAGTGCTGGTAGGAACAGGTAGGTCCAGACGTCCTTTGCGGCAGCGACATTGGCAAGTTTTATTGGATGGTAATTTAGTGGTGGAAATATCTCAGGAGGTTGACTGCAGGAGAGAGGGGACTTGTCTGGGTGGACGTCTTGGTGAACTGTCGTGAAGGGAGGCGAGTGGGTGTGCACATAAACTCGTTTTCATCCGTGCGCGAGCAGTCAATCGCACTGGGGACGATTCACTGATTTATTGTTGGACTGCCATGATCTAGAGTGTCAATGGACATAGCGTGCTGTCATTATGCGAGCATGAGGTGTCAAGATGCAATGCAACGAGTGGTGGATATTTCCAAGGAGGGTTGGTAGGAGTAGGTAGGTCCAGACGTCCTTTGCGGCAGCGACATTGGCAAATTTTATTGGATCGTAATTAGTGGTGGAAACATCTCAGGAGGTTGACTGCAGGAGAGAGGGGACTGTTGTCTGGGTGGACGTCTTCGTGAACTGTCATGAAGGGAGTCGTGAAGGGAGGCGAGCAGGTGTGCACATCAACTCGTTTTCATCCGTGCACAAGCAAACAATCGCACTCGGGATGATTCACTGAGGAACTGTTGGACTGCCATGAGGTAGAGAGTTAATGGACAGCGTGCTGTCATTGTGTGAGCGTGAGGGGTTGCTAACGCGTCGGCCAACAATGTCAACATCGCAGTTTTTGCGCGCGTTGATTGCGTGTGAGAGCTCATTTGGGCAGTAGGCAACAGTGGGACCCGGCGATAGACAATGTAGGGACACGTGTGAGCAAACAGTATTTTGCCGAAGTGGCCATGTGGTTTCTGACGTTGATGACGCACAATGTAGGGACACGTGTGAGCAAACAGTATTTTGCCGAAGTGGCCATGTGTGGTTTCTGACGTTGATGACGGATGGCCTGAGTACAACGATGGGAGTCGGTGGCTCCTTGCAGAGCGAAAATATTGTGATCCGAGGCAGTGCGTCCTTCGATGACGGATTGCTGAGTATGGCAGAATATTTCAGTGGGAGTGTGTACGCGTGGGCAATTTTCAACTTTCTGCTTCGGCGATGCAAATTGTGGTCGTGTGTAGCCTTTGGCTTTTGCGGAGTACTCGCGAAAGTTATGTTGAGGTGCTCTTCATGGAATGCGGTGGGGGACGGATAACACGTTCATGCCTACAAGCAAAGGGCAGTTCTGTAGCAATAGGTGCAAATAGTGGCCGTGCATAGCCTCTGGCTTTGACGGATTGCGGAGTACACCTGAAAGAGTTGGTGAGGTGCCCTTTCAGGCGAAGGGAAGTTCTATAGCGATATCGTAGTTGTTAGCGGGAGTCTGCTTAGCTTGCTGCCGAAGGGAAGTTTTATGCTCGTTGTCATTCCCAGCATTGGTGCAGTGGAGACGAGAATACACTGGGATTGTTTGAGTGTGTGACTTTTACGAATGTGTTAGCACTCGCCAGCTCTGGTCAATCATATACGGCATTATGAAAGAGTTGGTGAACCGATGTTCACGGAGTGTGTGTGGGGGGCGATAACACATTTTCATGACAAGTAAGCAAAGTGCAGTTCTGTATTGGTGCCATAATGGTTAATATGGCTTGATTGTCTATCTCGCACGGAAGGAGCACTTAGCACATCCGCACGAGCTACTTCTCTCCAATATAGCCGCAGTCCACACTATGGTGGGTGCATCCAAGCTTACTCGTCTCTCATTATCGTGAGTGCTCGTGTTTCCTAAGATGCCGTATGAGGTGTCTTACCGTGATAGACTGCTGATGTGAGCTTCATGTCACTGGTATGGGGCCTAGACAGGAGACTTTATTACCTGCTCTGAGTCAGTAGGGGGTTAGTATAGTTTCCAAAACTAGTTTAATGCCCCTCATTGATATCCCGTTGTGATGAATATTAACTCTAGAAAAGAGAATTCGTTTAATGCCCCTGAAGGATGTGTCACTGAAGCTTGAAAATCTGTCAAGTCTGAGTGTGTTTTCCTCTCCGAAAATGGCTTTGGTGGACACGTGGCAGCAGAAAGTTGAAAATTGGTCTTTGAGGGCAATTTTGTTTTTCATTATTTTGATATTTTTATTGGAAAGATTAGGACTTAGGGTTTGAGCCCACACTACAAGTAAAAAGTGGTGTTTTGCTGGATCCCACATGATTCCGCAGATCAAGGTTGCCACACAAGCTTCAGAGGTAAGTAGAAATGTTTGAAGTCGTGGCGCTGAAAAGCTTGAGGGAGTTTGGAAGAGAACCGGGCCTGTAGCTTGCAGTGGAAAATGATTTTTTTGTTTTGAATTTTAGTGTTCGTTTTGTTGGGCTGGTAATGTGACATACAACAGGTCCCGGGGGCAGTGTCCGTTGAAGTGTACCATTTTTGTGTCCGTAAAAGAACCTGCACAACCAAAAGCGCCAATGCCCTCGTAAAACCTACGGAGGATATGGGAATGTCGGGTCCCCGTGTTCTTTTACGGGTGGATGGGATCGGGTTCCCGTGTTCTTTTACGGGTGGACGGGATCGGCCCCAGCTTTCCCAAACCTACGGATGATACGGGAATGTGGGGTCCAGCGGCCCTAGATTTCCCAACCGAAAGGGCCGATACCTGCATGAAACTTAATGGAGGATACGGGAAGGTGGGGTCCCCGTTTTCTTTTACAAGTCGACGGGAGCGGGCCCAGCTTGCCCAACCAAAAGCGCTGATACCCATGTGAAACTTACAGAGGGTACGGGAAGGTGGGGTCCCCGTTTTCTTTTATGGGTCGATGGAGTGGGCCCCAGTTAAGGATTTCCCATCGTCTGCATTGAGCAGTCTTCCCCGTTTCTACTATGCCTACGCTGGTCTAAAGAAATCGGCTACCTTGCTAGAAGCGGTTAGTGGCGGAAGGAGAGAGTGTAATAATCAGTTTGGAAGGAAAGGTCGAGCTGCATAGAGTATTAGCGAGAGTGGAGAGTTACCGGAAGTCAGATTTTAGTCCGAACTCTAGCCAACATGCAGTTGATGTTTTCAACTCGATCTATGTCCATACAACCAATGGTGCTTGCCACTGTGATAGCGAGTCTAGTAGTGGGGTAAAAGTGACCATGATTGGTACGTCCTGACTTTTGATGAACGATGAATGTGAGATTTCTTGGAACGTCAATGAATTTTATGTGCATGAACTTGTGAGAACGAGTGCATGATTGTATCAAACACTAAAGGCAGGCGCAATCCTCGAAGTCAGAAGAAGTCGGGTCCTCTTTGACAGGCATGGATGTGAACAAGAGGGCTGGTATCATTAGTTAGAGGACAGTAGTTTCTCTGACTCGTTGTATCACTTTAGTGTTAGTTCTGGGTTTTTGTCATCTATCGGTGCAGTATGAGTGGTTTCCATGGAGAAACTGCTCGTGGAAATGCGTTGTACCTATTGTTGAATTTTGTTCCATTTTTGATGTGGGGGGAAAATGCCGACTTGCTGAGTAGGGTGTGCGTGACGTACGTTCGGCAGCAGACTTACTTGAGAGCTTTGAGAAGTCTTCTACGAGGGTTTGCAGTGAATGCCGACTACACCGTTTTTACACTCTGCTTAGTGTGCACTATCGGACGTGTCTTATTCTATGGCGACACTGGCGGACTAAGTTCTAACACACAGTGTAAAAGTAGTAGAACATGGGTAAGCTTGGAAATGAAGTTTTATGTGAGAACATTGTGCAGGAGGTCTTACTGGTACGAACTGCATTGTCTTTGTGCGCCTATCACTACTTGCGCGCGGATTTATTTCCGGAACTAATGGGCACTGGGAACTAGTGGTGAAAGATAGACAAGCGGGTTAAATAAGCGGGAAAGTATGTACATACTCGGAGCTAAGTTGTTGCAATCGCCAAGCCATTGTGGCGAGCATCAAGCGTGTGATGTGTCTTCGCAGACTCATGCAAGGAAACACATGCAGTCAGATTACTACTGACATCATCTGCATTCTAGTGTAATCATCTTTATTAACCGCTGTTCACTTCGTTGTGAGGGGATAAAGACGAGTGTAGGTACGAGTGAAGTTAAAAATGTGAGTGCATGGTTTGAGTGCTGGCAAGAGGAAGAAATCACATAGTGAAGGTTTTGAGAGAATGAGCTTATGTGCAAGATGCACAAGTGTAAATATTACGTGGCTTGGCGCTCACTTTCGGTTATTCCTTTGATTTTCTGAGACCTTTCTGGACAAGACTCGCACTGGCTGGACTATTCCTTCCAACAAAAGGTCGAGGGCTCAATTATGATTATCATTACATATCTGTTTACAGCGTGACAATGTTGTTTCCTTGTGTGATTGGGATAAAGAGCAGAGCGAGAGCGTTGATGAATGTTGGACGAAGACGAATGTGTGAAGGAAGGTGATTGAACCAGGCATAAGGATTCTCGTTCTTCTCAGACTACTTGCGCCCATCTTTCATTCAACTCTTTTTATAATAGGTTCTCTTTGATTATAATTGTGAGGGTAGCGTTCTTCTTACAAACATGCTCTTATGAAGCAACGATGGGGAGAAACTTGCTGGAATCGGTGAGTTTGATCACAAGTGACAAGTTCTCTGTACTCGTCGATTAAGCTCTAACCAACTAATCAGCGAACGGTTGGTACGTGGAAAAAATGGCATAAGCAAATAAGGTACCTTGACCAACTTTGCAGGTGTTCGTGACATACTATGTTTGGCCAGATGAGTAAACGAATGACGCATTCTAAAAAAGGTTGCAGAGTTATTTGCAAAAGTTTTAATTGAAGGGAACCAATTAGAATAAATATTAATCAATCGAGGTTGGATAAGAGAGTTCAAATGCCTTTCTAACAAATCTCCAATTTACCATTATTTACTACGTGGTTCTGTTTTCCTGGTTAGTAGAAGAGTCTCGAGACATGATTTGATTTTTATGTGCTTACAATCATTGTATTTCGGGATTGAGGGAACCGACTGATTGATTGATTGATCGAGGGAACGGACGGATTGATTGATTGATGGGCTTTTTTATAGTAGTACGCTTCACTGATGGACTTTTTATAGTAGTACGCTCCACTGATTGATTGATTCATTTGATTTTTATAGTAATACTTCACTGATTGATTGATTGAGGGAAGCGACTGATTGATTGATTGATGGGGGAGGGGTCGCCCCCCCAACCCCCACCCAATGTCACACACACACACAAATACACACACATACACACACACATACACACCCACACACACAAATATCGTTTTTTTTTTTTTTTTTTGATTGAACAAGTGATTGATTGATTGGTGGGGAAGGGGTCGCCCCCCCAACCCCCACCCGATCACACACACACACACACACACACGCACACACACACTTGTGCGGGGTTTCAGAGTGTGTGTGTGTGTGTGTGTTTTATGCAATAGAAAACAACAATGCCCTAAAAAAATATATGGGCGTGTAGGGTTTTTTGAGCCCTCCACGCCCATATTTGTTTTTTTTTTTTTTTGTCTGCTAAAATATGGGAAACAAATTGCTGCACCAAACTTGGCTGGTCGGCCGTGCCTGAAAATGGTCGATTTGGCCGACGGCCGCGGCTGCGGCCGAGTTTTTGGCCCCGGTCGTGACCGGGTGTGCAACATAGCCTGACTACGATCTCCTAGGTGCAATCTGATCATCTAATCTCGAGCTATCAACTGAGAAAAGATCAAAAGTACAGTTGAGAACAAATAATCCTTCTCAGCAGCACAATAGGGTATTTGAATTTACAGTTGGAGAGAAGGAGAAATTAGTAATAAAAACGTTTTATGGGTAACATGCAAAAAACAACGAAAGAGATCAGACAAGTGGGAAAACACTGAGACAGACTACATTGCATCATTCAAGAGTCGGATGAGAAATAGAGCACTAAGTACTTTCAAGAGACAAACCATAATTGAATATACTATATATTATCGAAATCGGTTTGGTAAGACGATCAGTACAACTGCATCTTTGAAGAGAATTAAACAAGTTATAGAGATCAATAAGGATCAACATTGTCACCCATATGAGTACAATGGAATCATTTTCGGTCGATGGCTGAGTCTTGATCAGTCTCAACGGGATTGCTTCCAAGGATGCTTTCTATTATCATTATGTTAGTTTAATTGGTTTCAAGCAAGGAGACTTGTCAATCTGCGTGGCCCTAGCTAAGTTTGCAGAGGGAACTATCAAAGATTTGACGATCTATGTGAAGAAAGGAAAGGAGACTCATGAACAATTTGACTCAGTTTGGGTTATAGCAACATGGTATGTTGAGGAGAGAGCATTGGTGCTTCATGGGGAAACAAAACGGATGCATAACTTTGGTCCTAAGCTATATTTTGACTACCCTAGGCTTCTAGTCTCTTTTTGTCTCATCAGTAGTTCTTACTGAGGTGATCTGGTTGACCTGGCCAAAAATATGTCTCACCAGCAGCTATTGACTATGATGTGGTGGTGAATGAAGCATTAAAGTTTCAACATCTCAGACGAGGGATCTTCTCCAAACCATATCTTCGTACTATGTAGGAGTTTTTATGCTATGCTTAACTTCAGAATCTTTGGCCTCGGATTGACTTGTTCATAACTCATGGGCCTTAGATGACTCCATATTATCAGACCACAATCTCATGAGGTACATGGATGTGGTACACGAAAAGCACAATAAAAAAAAGATTGAGCGTGGGACTTGAGAGGGAGAGAGAGGGTTCTTGACGAGTGATGACCATGTCTTTTCATCTGTACTTTACGATATTATTACGGGTTTTCACCTTCCCTCGTTCATTTTGTCTTTGCCTTGAGTCGAGTCGGCATTGATCGTGCTTCAGTAACATTGTTTAACGATATACTGTTTGCTGGTCTGGTCACAGTTCTACATTCGTAAATTCATA